AGCCAACCCCGATAACTTGTTTATGAATACATTGTATGTGATTACTTCTGCAGAGAGGAGAGTACATTTGATTTTTCTACAAAATATTAAACAGACCCTAAATTTAAATGCTTTTCATATTTGAATTAAAAACTATTTATTGCACTATTCTTCCTTTTGTGGCCCTAGAAACAAAGATGCTATTCTGATTTTAAAGCTATGACAAATGAAACATAGAAGGTTAAATAAAATTTAACAAAGTCAAGGCAAGGAAGAAAAATCCAGAACATTCAGCAGCCACTACAAGGATAAACTTTACTCAGGCAGGAAAAGATAGGAAGATGAAGATCTCCTTAAGTAGCCTTTGCTCAGTGCGGAAGGCAACTGCAGGCTGGAAGCCTGGAATGTGCTGAGGACCTTATAGATAGTCCTGGGCACAGCCACTAACTTCTCAACGTCTCAGATTCTTTACCTGGAATAAATACGTCAAGAAAGCTAAGACGTGCCCCAGTGATTATGCAGTGTGACTAATGACGAAGTAACCAGGTATCCTCAATATGTGCAGTTATTTTGATTTTGCAAAGTACACTAACACCTAATACTTCAACCACATGTTCTTAAAACCTGATAATTCATATCAAGCATTCTGGGAAAGGCCATGAATTCAGGGGACTCGTGATATTGAATGAAAAACTGCTGGCATAGCCACAAGTGCCTTTCAGGGAAAATAAGCCATCGCTTTTTTTTTTTTTAATCTCACTCAAGGATAATCCTCACCCCAAGATGTTAACACGAAACAATAAGTAGACTATTAACTCAGGGCATTTTATTTCTAAACAAGATGATTAGGACATCTGAAAATACCTAAAAATTATTCCAGTGAGTGTCTCTTTCCCTCAGCCCTGACAGCGTAGTAGTTCTCCCAAACTGTTATAATGTGAAAAACCGGCGATAACCACAGAGCCTCAGTGTTGCCGAGGCCAACTGCAATTCACAGCTGCACGTGGTTCCAGGCAAGGGCTTCTGTGCCCTCCAGATGCTCACCCAGATGCCCCCTAAAATACATAAAACTGCTTCAAATAAATGCTGTTTATTCCACAGTGAGTAACAAGATTTATAAAGCAAGTGTCCTGGAACTTTCAAGCCATGCATTAAAAACAGCCATCGACCTTTCCTAAAAATGACTCTTGACTCTTAGACCAGGGCTGGCACCGGGTCACTGCATCCTCCGGGTCAGCTTCCAGCTGGTCCATATTCGATAATGGGAGCCCAAGCTCAAGAACCCAAGATGTGAGCAGCTGAGGCGTGGAGACTGCCCAGCCGACCCCTGACGTTTTGAGAGGAGCACCCAGCCAGCCCAGCCCGCTCTTCCAGGCGTTACCCAGAGGGTGGGGAGGTAGCGGCAGCGTGGGGCGCCCTGCGATGCAGCTTCTCCGGCACACCCAAAAGGTCCAGAATGGAGGCAAAAAAAATAAAAAGTATGGCTTCCTTTTTTCATCAGAAGCTTGAAAAACCAGATTTTCAAAAGATGACAATGAAAAACATGCAAAAAAATCGAATTATCTGAATATCAGAGTTCCACTCATCTTGAACTAAGAGAATATAGATCAGATCCCAAACAGACAATCGGTTCTGAGGAAACCACAAAGAGAGGCCCTGAAGCCAAAGAACTTCTGTCGTACTTTTTCTGTATTAAAAATGTAATTCTTCCTGTCCTTTTCCAAGAACACTCTAAAGACGCGGTCTGCCCTTTCTTAGAAATAATCGCTTCTCTCCCAGAGCTCACGTGCCTTCACGGTGATTACAGAGCATAGCTGGAATTTCAGGTGTACTTGTTAGCAATAGATAAGTGTCTGCAATACTGCTGGCTTTCTGTTTCCTTTGCTTTAGTTTGGTTGCTCAAGCTGTCCCATGAAATCTAAAGTCCGCTGCCCTAGCGGAAAGAAAAGTTGGTTAGGCACAACTGGGAGTGTCAGAGAAAATACAGGACGCCCAGTTACATTTGATTTTGTTTTGCCATTGATTTTTATGTATTTATTTTAATTTTAAAATGTTTAATTGACAAAAGTCGAATATATTCAAGGTGTACAATGTGATGATTTGATATATACATTGTGTAATGATGATCACCACAAATTAATTAACACATCTGTCACCAGCCATTGTTACCATTGTGGGGGATGAGGATGCTTAAAATCTGCTCTCTTATCCCATGTCAAGTGGGCAATACGTGTTATTAGCCAGAGTCCCCATGCGGCACATTAAGACTCCAAAACTCATTCATCCTAGGAATTTTGTACCTTAGACCAACATCTCCTCACTCTCTCCCCTCTCCCCTCACCCCATGGACCCTGGCAGCCACCATGCTATACTCTGCTTCTATGAATTCAACTTTTTTTAGATTCCACGTATGAGAGAGATCATGCACTAGGATTTGTCTTTCTATGCCTGGCTTATTTCCCTTAGGATGGGGTCCTCCAGTTTCATGCACGCTCGTTGCAAATGGCAGGATTTCCCTTTTTTTAAGGCTGCCTAATCTTCTGTTGCTTGGCTGTACCGTGTTTCACTCATCCACTCATCCGCTGAAGGACACTTGAGCTGCTTCCACCTCTAGGCTCTGGTGCACGATGCTGCGGTGGATATGTGGGTGCAGTTATCTCTCTGAGTTTCAATTATTTGGGCATTGACCTGCCGGTTACCCCATTTCACATCCCCAGAGGGCTCTCATTTCTCCATGTCCTCACCAACACATTATTTTCTGGCTTTGCTTTGTTTTTCTAATAGCCATCCTAATGGGTGTGAGATGATATTTCATTGTGGTTTGGATTTGCATTTCCCTAATGATTAGTGATGTTGATTACATGTCCATGTGCTTATTGACATTAGTACATCTTCCTTGGAGAAATGTCTATTGAAGTCCTTTGCCTTCCACTGAATTTCAGATAAACCATGAATAAGGTTTTTAAGTATATACGTGTGTGTGTATATACATATATATATATGTACACAGATATATATTTATGTGTGTGTCCCACACAATGTTAGAAATGCCTATATACCAAAAAATTATCTGTTTATGTAAAACTCAATTTTAACTGGATATCCTGAATTTTTATTTGATAAATCTAGCAACATCAGAAAGTAAAAACTTTGATAGATCTAAAACAATCCTTAAATATCTTACGATTTTGCTAAAGTAAAGTCTGGAATAGTTTAGTGCGTTTGTGTGAGTGTTTGGCTGGTAGCCTTACTTTATTAAAAATGTAATTTCATCTTGAGATCCTCCAGACTAAATCATTTGAGCTTCACACTCTTAGTGTAACATTATTGGACTCCCTTAATGAAATTATAACTCAAGCAAGATATTTCATTCTCTTGTAGTAAATTAGTTTGGGCTGCAAGGGTTTAGAAGAGCAAACCCTTCCCTGGTTTATTCTTGTTTGGTAGAACAAAGAAGGCACAGGCATTTTATATCTGAGTTATTTATTGTTCTCTCTGTTGCCCGTCCCTACTGGAAACAACAGCTGTTAACGGGCTCCCGAATGAATTTCAGTGTGAACTCTTCTGGCCTCTGAAAACCTTGGCTAAGGAGAAAACAGGCTCAGCCTCAAAAGAAAAAGAGCCAGTTTCAGGCTGGGTCTGGATGCCTGAAGGCCAAGGGCAGATGAAACCAGCAGCTCATGTTTTCTTGAGAAATTACACTTCAGGGAGATATACAGTGCCATGGTGGGGCACCTGTGGACAGCTGTCCTCATTACAGGGTGATGTAAACTCAGTGACTTCCTGGGAAATCCTGCCCGTGGGTGTCCACAGCTTCCGAAGGAGAGGGAAGGATCCCGCGTAGCGAAGTAGCCGATCCCGCAGCCAGTGCCCTGGAACTTGGACAGCAGGGACGCTAGGACACGTTTCTGTCGCACTCTGCACCGTGTTGCATGAGCAACGCTAACATTTCCACCTGGGGCCTCTTAATCAATGAGGTCCAGGTTCATAATGGCACACGCGAACCGTGTAGACTGGAGGACGTCTGGGAGCCAGGGGCTCCCTGTGCTGTGTCTCTGTTGGTGTCTCCTCTGCAGTGCAGTGAGTTCTACGTGTGGACCAATACTCCCCAGTGCGGTGGTTTAACTTAGGTGGTGGAAATCTCCAAAATAAGGAGCTTTTCTTTCGGATCCCTTTATTAGTCATTTTTATTTCTCTCAATCATACCTCGAACCCACCATTCCTTAATCTCGTTATTGATGAAATAAATTGCTGAGACCATGGGAGTAAAACAGCATACTTTATTGGTGAGGAGTGTCATTTCCTGATTGGATCTGTTTCCACAATCGTGCTGCACTCAGAGTAGTGGGGACCCAGGAGGCAAGACCTGCTTGGCCTTTGCTCACCCAGCCACAGGCTTTAGGCAGAGGCAGTCCCTGGAATTCCAGCCACCGTATTGAGGACGCTTGGCCATTTCTGGGAGGACTGCGTGCTCTGCCCACACCACTAGCTCCCTCCTCCCCTCCTCTACTTCTGCCAAACGCCTGCTAAGTGACAGGTCCTTTATTTTTAATGCATGTCAAGCCCAGAAAGCAAATTCTGCACTAATAGGGAAAGATAGTCTTGGCTTTATTTGCACCATTCTCTTTTAATTGTGAGATCGTTTTACTTGTTTTAGCCCATCTCTGTGAAATGATCTCGACGGAAGGCTCTGCCCTACCCGGGATCTTGTAAAGAGATGCAAGGTTGCTACCCTGGAGACAGCTGCTTAAAGTTTTAAGGGACATGGGCAAGGTGAAGGGAAATGCTAAAATAAGAGAAGGAGAAAGAAGGAAATCGTATAATTTTAAATTGAGTGGAGAAAAGAATTTGATAAAATGCTGTCAGATATTCAATAAAAGACTGAACCAAAATGAAATGGCTGAAACCAAAGTGACCTTTCCACGTCCCTTGTCCAACCTTCAGTAATAAGAACTTCTAAAAGCATTGCGTTTTTCTGAAACTCCATGTCAAAAGTGCATTTCCTGTTCTTTTCTTTCCAGATAAAGTAAGCATATTGTCAACCTTCCTCGCTCCCTTCAAGCACCTGAGTCCTGGCACCACAAACACGGAGGATGAAGACACCCTAAGTAAGCAGCTTCCTTTCCCCAAAGTGCACAAAGGCCCCGTGTGTGTGCAGGGGTCCCCTGCTGTCCCCAAACCCTGAGATACCTGGAGTCATCTGGGAGGGTCTGTTTGTCTGCTCTCAGTCCCCTACAGAATCCCCATCTTCCCTGCAGTCCCACCTGCACCTGTAATCCTATCCTCACTTGGAATCCTTTTCATCTGAGGGTCTCACCAGAATCCTATCTCCACCTACAATCCTGTCTTCATCTGAGGTCCTATCCTTACCTGGAGTCCTACTGTAACCTGCAGTCCCACCCTCACCTGCAGTCTCATCTTCACCTGTGGCCCCATCCGCACTTTCAGTGTCATCCTCACCTGAAATCCTATCCTATCCTCACCTGTGCTCCCACCCTCACCTGGAAACTTAGTCTCACCTGCAGTCCCATCCTCACCTGCAGTCTCATCCTCACCTGTGGTCCCATCCTCACTTTCAGTGTCATCATCACCTGTGCAGTCCTCCCATCCTCACCTGCAGTCCATCCTCACTCTGTGGTCCATCCTCACTTTCAGTGTCATCACCTGGATCCTGGTCCTCACCTGGTGGTCCCATCCTCACTTCAGTGTGTCATCATCACCTGGATCCCATCCCCACTCTGTGGTCCCATCCTCACTTTCAGTGTCATCATCACCTGGATCCTATCCTCACCTGTGGTCCCATCCTCACTTTCAGTGTCATTGTCACCTGGATCCTATCCTCACCTGTGGTCCCACCCTCACCTGGAATCTTACCCGCACCTGCAGTCTCATCCTCACCTGTGGCATTTCCTGGTTGGATCTGTTTCCAACCTGGTTGGTCCCATTCTCATCTTCAGTTCCATCCTTAATTGGAATCTTAGGCTTCCCTGGAGTCTCATCCTCACCAGGAATCCTTCCTTACCAAAAGGGCAGGAAAGTGTCAGTAATGTCTGTGGGACTGATAACCCCAGGGATTCCAAGAAATTAACCAGTTTTCTTGGACTATTCTCTCCTCTCCTTCCTTTGTTTTTTCATCAAACCAGAAAGAGCAATGGTCATGGTGTCTTAGAGCATGGTTTGTACAAGTATTTAACAAGGAAAGGGCTGGATAGGAGCCCCTCCTGTGCAAACATTTCTGGCACATGAAATTGGAAAGGGGCCAAGCAGAGTCTTCAGGATGGCACCAGGCTGGTTTAGGAAAGGGACCTGAGCAGTGTCTCGGGAGCTGACTGTGGGGGTGAGGATCCAGGAGTGTGTGGCTGCAGGAGCTGGCCTCTATGTTCACAGCAAATTGTCAGGCATTTAACAAAGAGGACAAGACATTCCACACCATGTGAACAGCTCCTCAAATTTTAACACCACCTGGCAGATGGCTCCTTTTTCAACCAGGAAGAGGTCAGCACACTCCTGTTGTCATGGGACAGGGAGGAGGTGAGGTGACCTTGGGATTGCTGGTCAGACCAACAAGAGGCAGTGGGAAGGGTCTGCAAGGGACTCTGTGCACTTTGCCATCAGCCTGGGAAACACAGCCCTTCCCAGACAGCATAATAATTAACCGTACTGGAAATGGACGTTTTTCAGCAAAAGCAGCATCACAGTCTTTTAGTGTCAGGACCAGAGCGAAGGTCAATGCCCTCTCTTGGACCCCTTCTCTTCTAGACATGGAAGGAGCAAGTTAGGAGGAGGGTGTGCTGGCACTAGGGAGGGCTCGACCCAGACTCCTTGCTCCCTCCCCAGCACAGCTTGAGACTCAAGCCAAGTTTTGACGCAGGTTGCTTGTGTTCTCTGGTGACCCAAACTGGAAAATTTCCAGATGAGTCCATTTATTGATCACTACTTCTGAAATCTGGGATAGAGAAAGTAAAAAGCACACACCAGGCATGTGCATGTGTGCATACACACCCCCCCAGGGGTGCACACAAACACACACACTCCAAGAGCACACAAGCACACAGCCCCCAGGAGCACACACCCCCCACCCAAGCTGAGCCTGACATGTGGACCTGGAAACACCTGGGAAGGGGAAGTTCACTGTTTCCTCCTCCTCCACACCTGGAGCTGCTGGGATCCTGGCTGGAGCTGGCCTCCCTCAGGAGAAAAAGAAATGAAGCTTCAGCAAGGGCCAGAGGACTGCGGTGCGGAGCGAATGGTTTCTACCTTACAGAGGTGCAGCAACCGCCTTTCTGTAGCAACCAGAGGCCAAGATCTGGATAAACCGCCTGGCTGCATGGGAAAATCACTCCTCTGCCCCTGAGATTTCTGAGAGAGGGACGTCCCCACCCCACGTAGGAGCTTCTCCTTCCCCCTGCCTCCCTGTAAGAACTCCCACAGCGGGCAATGAGAAGAGGAGACGGCCTGCTGAGGCCAAGACTTTCTGGACTTTCCGGAAGCCTTTCATGCTCTGTCCTGGCAGCCAAGCTGCCTTGGGCTATAAACATTACCTCTCCGAGCCTCCACGCTAATGGGTAGAAACTTAGAGGTAACAATAACTTTAAATGATTTATGGTAGTTAAAATGCTCTTGAAATGCTTGAGAAGTCTCATTTTCAATCAATCAACTAGTTGCTCCCCTTTGTGTAGATGCTGTTTATTTACTTTCTTTTCATAGATTGTTCAAAGACAAACCTGCAAATGAATCAGCCCTCCCTTCATAGCTCCCTGCGGCACCGCCAGCTCGGCCTTATCCATTTGTAATCCAGATGCACGGGAAGGTAGAAAAAGATGTGCGTGTGTGTGTGTGTGTGTGTGTGTGTGTGTGTTGTGATGTGTGTGTGTGTGTTCATGCATGTGGCATGTGTGGTGTGTGGGGAAGTGCACGTGTGTGGGGTGAGTTCACGTGCATATGTGTCATGTGCGTATGTGTGCATGTGTGTGCACAGGTGTGTGTGTACGCATGTGTGTGGTGTGTGAGTCTGTGCACGTGTGTGCATGTGTGTTGTGTGTGTGTGCATGGGCATGTGGGCCGAGTGTCGTGTGTGCACATGTGTGTGATGTGAGTCTGTGCATGTGTGTGCATGTGTGTGGTGTGTGCACATGTGTATGCATGTGTGTGGTGTGTGAGTCTGTGTACGTGTGTGTGTGTGGTGTGTGTACGTGCGTGCATGTGTGTGGCATGTGAGTCTGTGCAGGTGTGTGCATGTGTGTGGTGTGTGTGTCTGTGTACGTGTGTGCATGTGTGTGGTGTGTGCACGTGTGTGTGCATGTGTGTGGCATGTATGTGCATGTGTGTGGTGTGTGTACATGTGTGCATGTGTGTGGTGTGTGAATCTGTGTACGTGTGTGCATGTGTGGTGTGTAGTCTGTGTATGCGTGTGTGCATGTGTGTGGTGTGTGTGTCTGTGTACGTGTGTGTGCATGTGTGTGGTGTGTGAATCCATGCACGTGTGTGCATGTGTGTGGTGTGTGTCTGTGTGTGTGTGCATGTGTGGCTTGGTGTGTGTGTGTCTGTGTACGTGTGCATGTGTGTGGTGTGTGTGCACGTGTGTGTGCATGTGTGAGTATGTGCATGTGTGTGGTGTGTGTACGTGTGTGCATGTGTGTGGTGTGTGTCTGTGCACGTGTGTGCATGCATGTGGTGTGTATACGTGTGTGTGCAAGTGTGTGGCATGTGAGTCTGTGCATGTGTGTGGTGTGTGTACGTGTGTGTGCATGTCTGGCATGTGTGAGTATGTGTACATAATGTGCTTAGTGTGTGTACATGTGTGTGCATGTGTGTGGTGTGACTCTGTGCACGTGTGGTACATTGTGTGGTGTGAGTCTGTGCAGGTGTGTGCATGCATGTGGCATGTGTGCCGAGTGTGGTGTGTGCACATGTGTGTGGGTGTGAGTCTGCACCTGTGTGCATATGTGTGATGTGTGTGCACACGTGTGCATGTGTGTGGTGTGCATGTGTGTAGTGTGTGAGTCTGCACATGTGCACAGGTGTGTGGCGTGTGAGTCTGTGCACGTCAGTGCACGCACATATGTCAGGAGCAAGGGTGGGTGGTAGGAGCACACATGACCTTGCCCTGCCTCCTCCCGTCTCCTGTGTTTCACACCCTGTGAGTCTATGTGTCTGTGGGCTCCGACACGAGGACCGCTCCCATCCCACCTCGCGTGTGCTCCACCTTTGGGGAATCCCATGTGCTTCCCTGTGGATGCTGGATGCCCACAACCTCACAGGATCATGGCTTTTGTCTGGGGCCGAGCGCCCCTCATCTAAGGGTGCGGAGCGGGGGACAGGCTCGCAGGGCACACACCACGCCATGAACCTGCGGGAAGTGGGCCTGGGAGCCGCACCTGGAAGCCCATCACCCGTACGCTGGTCTCGGCTGAGTGGACTGAACAACTCCACGTTTGTAAGGCGTGTCTGCCTGGGGCAGCTAACTCTGAGGAGCTTTCTCTCCCAACGCTGAGCAGTCATGAGTTCCTGCCATCTGGTCACTGTCAACTCTCTGCTGACCACTGTGCAGAGGTTGGGATCCAACCCAGTTCTGACCAGGTGAGCCCAAGGCTGCCCGGCACAAAGACGGCCCTGGGCTTTGCTGGAGAGAAGTCTCCCGACAGGCGCACCTGCTCCTTCCTGAGTTCCACACACCACAGGCCCAGCCCCGTGGGGTCCTGCGTGACGGGTCTTTGAAGGAGGCCCTTCTGCAGCTGCCCAGCCTGCCAGTGTCCACTCCGCAAATGCCAGGAGCCACTGCCTCCCACCCCCGGCCCCAGCCTGCCTCCTGCCGCTTACAGAACCTCTGCTGTGCCCTGGAGAACCCGGGCACCTGCCTTCCCGTCCCTCAGCGGGGCTTCATGGAGGGAAAAGAGCTGCTCGGCCGCAGAATAACCTTCACCAGGAACAACATTATCTCTTCCAATGTAGCGTGGCGCGCCGCCTGGCTGGCTCCCAGGAGCCCGTCTGACCCGCAGACACGCAGCGTCATTATTAGTGATGCGTGCGGTCCCAATGATGCCGCACAGGGGAAGCCGGGTGTGCAAACGGCCCAGCAGAGGACGGACAGCGGGAGCCAGAGGAGAGG